ATTTTTCTCCAAATATATATATTTATATAATATATAATCTTAGTTAACTCAAGTATATACATTGTATAATAAATAATGCTTATAAAAAGAGAAATTTTCTGAATATAAAATAAAAAAAAATCGACCTCTACAACTTTATACAAAACTTTGGATACAGCAGATTGATGGAAAAAGATCTTCCATTCAGTGCTAGAATACCTGGCTACAGTAAAATAATTACAAGGCAATAAATGTTCTATTTAATATTAAATACCTTTTCTTGATTAAAAACCAACCAACCAAACAAAAAAGGGATTTTGCTTAAAGTCAGGTACTTAGAGTCTTTGCAGACACGGAGTTTAATATATACTTTTAAATAGAATGCATATCAGAAGACGGCTTATTTCCAAATCGGGGAGCTTTCTTAGAGCTCTCCTGCGATCTTTAATTTTAGAAAGCCAATGCTTCTCAGGCTGCGCGAATCCGGGAGCTCTTCATCGTGCTCTACAGAGGAAGGACTGAGAATTTTGCTCTGATTCTCTCCAGCCGCAGGTTTGAGTGACGGGGCCATGTTCTGTGCTCCATACAAGGGGTCTTTCACCCATTTTATTGCTCTTTGCAGTACGGCTCTTCCCCATGGACAAAGTGTGTGGAGCAGAAGACACAGCTTTAATGGTTTAGACGTATTTCTGTGTTAAATCACTGATGCGTGAGAAGTGGCATTGGAACATGGTTATTTGTCGTCATCATCTGTGGAGGAGTCCACCAGGACAGAGAGAATATTTATTTTTTTAATTTCAAGGGTCAATGCGCCATGAAAATGTAATCCCAAAATGAGGGGGCGTGTGGTCAAGGAGGGGGGTGGGGAGCAGGTGGAGGGACAAATGCTGATTTTTCTGCACGGAGGTGGGTCATGGGATGTGTGTGGCCACGCCTGGGGCCCAAATCCCTGCTAAAGGTAGGGAGCCTCTGTGGACCCCTCATGGGCGAGTTGCTAACTCAAGAAATCCTATGGGAAGGGTCTGCCTGGGGCTGTGCTGTTGGCTAAAGGTCTCCCTTCCCCAGCTGCCCTTGCCGCTCTCTTGCGGGATGAAGTGGTGTGAACAAGTCTGTCTGGTGGGGGAAGGCTGACGGGCAGGCTTGGACGGAAATTCCTTCTTCCGCGCTCCTGGCTCCCTGTCCATTGCTGATGCTCATGGGCGGGTACCCTGCCCCCAGGGACTCTCTGAGCTCGCTCTGGGATACGAAGTCATGCAAGGGAATGCTTAGTAAATGGCTGCATCGGCCGGATGGATCTGCCCAGGTCCTTACAACTCTCTCTCGGGCCGCTGCACGGCAGGGAGGCTGCTGGAGCGGTGGTGCGTCCCCGTGCACGGGCTGGCAGCCGCGCCACGTGCGATCTGCTCTCATCCTGGGCCAGATGCTGGAGGAGCCGCTCGGCTCTGCCGTCCTCCTCAGGGGGTTTACAGGAGATGATCCGGGGCTGTGGGGAGTTCAGAGGGCAAAGGGGTGAAAGGAGAGGCTGGCTGCAAGGCTGGGTTCGCGTGCTCAAGCAGGTTTGTTCCTCCAACATCGTCTCCTCGGAGCAGGAAGGAAAGAGCCCGGCTGGTGTGGGGAGTTGGCTCCTTTCCTCCTCCTCCTCACACCTGCTGAGACCAGGGAGCCTGTACGTGCTCGGCTTTCCCTCTGTAAAATTCATTTCCACCTGAAACCCCCGTATTGGCATCTGCACGGGCCAGACCTCTGGAGGAGGACGGAGCTGGAAGCTCTGCGCGTGCCAGGCTAGCCGCACGCTGGCTGGTGTGGCCGCGCCTCGCGTGGACCTCTGCTGTCCCTGCTTCTCCCCAGACACCGTCATGCCAACCAGCCCGAGAGAAGTCAGCAGACCAGCGATCTGACGTGTCTGCGGCGCCAGCTCTAGCCTTGGACTGCCTTGTGTGGGTGAGATGCCGAGAGCCTTCTCCGCAGCGCTGGTGCCGGCTGTGTGAGGGTGTCTGCCCTGACCAAGGGCATTCGGAATGTTTTATGCCATCCTCTGAAGTGTGAGGCCACCATGTGGGGGCTGATCGCAGGGTTGACGGACCCCTTGGCCCTGCTCTGGAGCAACCTCCCATCAGTTGGAGACCTACCTGCGCTTACTTGCAGGTGTGGACGTCGTAGACGCGTACGCACTCCTGGCAGCTCACGTAGCAGCACCAGTGGAAGATGCAGTGACACTTCTCCTTCCGTTTCTCAGTCCTGGTGTTGTGGCCACGACCGCAGCACAGCAGGTCGCAGCCGTCAATCCCGTGGGAGGTGACGTTACATGTTCTGTCCCTTGTCCCAAAGGAGCCCGTCTCTGGGTTGGGCTCGCAAAAATTGGGGGAGTTCTCGTAGTAGACCAGATCCCGCTCCGTCGGTGGCTTGAAAAGAGCGTACTTGGCCCTAAGAGTTTCTACCCATCCCCGAGATTCTCGGTGCTTTTCAACCACCATCTCAGAGGCGCTGTCGTATTTATCCTTCAGGTAGTCACCGATTGCCCGGAAATCGGGCTGGGCCCACCAGCAGGTCTTGACCTCGCAGCTTCCCGAGAGACCGTGGCACTTGCACTTCAGGTGCATGTGATCCAGGATGGTCTGTCCGGGGGAGAGAAAACAAGGCGGTCAGCGGCAGCTGATGATGCCCAGCGGTTGCTTTCCATCACCCGCCTTTGCTACCTGGATTTAAATGGCTAATCTGAGCTCGGTCTGGAAAGCGTCGGCTAGTTGTAAACGCATGGGAGCTTTGGCGTGTGGCAGAAACAGCTCTAGATGGAGACGTCACACTGGAAAAGCATGACTGAGATGGGCGGCTGCTCTAATCATCTACCCAATCCACTCCAATCTAATCCAATCCAATCCAATCCAATCCAATCCAATCCAATCCAATCCAATCCAAATCTAGTCCAGTCCTTTCAATGGGGCCCTCCCTGTTGTGTGTGTGCGGACAATCAGAGCCCAGAGAAGCTGAGGGTTGGAGGGTGTCTCTGACACACGTGGATGTGGACGGATCTCCCTGTCCTAGCTTTGCTAGCAACCCTTCATTTTATGCCCCGAGTCTGACAGTCTGCACTAGAAAGTAAATGAAATTGTGAATCTAAGGACATGACCTGCTCTCTTCCCCAGAAACCTCCTGTGTGAAGCAAAATAATCACTGATTTTTGTTAAAATTACTAGAGTTTGGTTTTTTTTTACAGGAAGCTGTCAGTCATTAACACAAGTTGGAGATTCAGGCTTCCGCCCTTCCACCTCTGCCTGCTGTGTTATGGAAAAGCGATATTTAGTGTTTGCTTCAAGCACTGTTTGAAAGGCCTCGCTGTAACACGGTTAAAGCATGCTGGGTTTGCAAATGACCTAGAGCAGGCAGTGGCCCAGGTATCTGCTGACAGCAAGAACGGAATAGAATATTTCAGTTGGAAGGGACTGACAACCGTCATCTCGTCCAAGGAATCACTGGGTGGGACAACGTTACAACGGGGAGCATGCAGGAAGGAGAAGCTTGGGAGGAAAGTCCTCTTCACTGTTGACCTGGGGTCTTGGGCGGTTGAGTTGGGTTTCTACGTGCTGCCTTAGGAGATGTTTGTGCTGGAAGCAAGGCACGTTTTAACTCTTAACCCCTACCCATCTGTTTGTAGAGAGTGGAAATGCTGTGCCCTGGAAAATAATCCTAGAAAGCTCCTGCCCGGGCATTATTGCGGTCCCATTACATCAGGGGGAGCCAGACTGGGCGCTCCATGCAGACATGGACGACCGGCTCTGGGCCCGCTGAGCACTCACCGTCCTGCCGGCCTCGTTGTTGTGTCTGTTCATGGCTGAGCGGGCGTCCGGCCGGTTCTCTCGGGCATCTGCGAATTCCCGGGACACCAGCACGCCAAAGTCGGCATCCTCACTGCATCCTCCCCATTTCCAGCCATCTCCTGGAGGTCCTTTGTGGTGGGAGTCACAGCCGCAGATGGTGGATGTGCCCTCGGCACAGGAGCGGGTTACAGCGAAGGCCACCCCTGCCGACGCAATGGCGTGGACAAAGGCAGACTCTCGTGTGGCTGGGAATAAATAGAGTCCATGGGATTATCAGTCAACGTAACACTTGTTTTCCTTCCCAACCTCCTTCAGCATCATCTAAATCTTGTTAAAAAGCAAAAAGTTATTTTATTAATTTTTTAATGAACGTTTTCTGAATCAGGTGCTGCTGGCATCGCCTTTTGAAGCACGCAGGCAGGAGTAGGTGGGAGAGAAGTGAGAAGTGTGACTCCAGCTCTGTGTATCACAAATGCAGCATTTCCCCCAAATACAATGGATGCAGGATTTGATCCAGCATGGGTGCCAATGGGTGCACAAAATGTCAGTAAGAGCTTGAGGGGCCTCAGAAGAGAGTGACTGGAGTTAATTCCTGGTCTGGAAACCCAGAGAGGGACTCCATGCCTGGAGTTAGTCCAAGGAGAGATGAAGAAGCTCATACACATGCTGAAATGGGGAAAGTTTTCAGATGATACAGGACAGACAATGGCAGAGCAAAGCCTAAGAGCTAGTAATTACTGTTAAATATACCTAGACTAAACAACATGTGACTTTACAGCAATGGAATAAAACCAGCCGAAGGTGCGAAGATAACCTTGAAGTTGCTCATTAATTACTGAACAATCCTGGAGGAAGTCAAAGCAGATGAAACTCAAGCCTCTTCTTTGACTCTAACTATTGGCATGCTCCAGGTACATGTTGAATTTCAGCAGGCCTAAAGGAGCAAAGGTGGAGAAAGTCCTGAAAGCACTGAATGCTGAAGAAAGGGTGAAATAAATTGCCCAGGATGCCTAGGTGGAGTGGGAGCTGGGAACTGGGGCATGTGTGGATTCTCTGTGCCAGGAGAGAGAAAATGTTTCAGCAGAACAAAGATACCTGGGCAGGAGGTGGGGACAAAACAAAATCCACGTGAAGATGCAGATGCAGTGGGTTTGCTGAACTGGAGCATCCCACCTGTGACTTTCAAGCCCTCCCCTTCCCTGGCCATTCTGTGGGGCCCTGACCTGGGCTTTGGAGAGCAGCAGCCAAAATGCACATGGGTATGGGGAAGGCACCAGAAGATGTTTACATGGGCTGGATGTTACAGCTGGGTCTGCGAAGGACAAGGCCAAGCAGGGTGGGTGGGAAACCAGACCAGAGCTGCCTGCTCTGTGCCTGGAGCCTCCAAGCTCACCTCAGAGCTGCTGCTCTTCACCAGGAACCCAAACCTCTCCAGCAGCCCTGCACGCTGCCGTCCCCTCTGCCTGAGCATCGTGGCCCTTCCTGGCTCAGTGGTGGTTGCCGTAAACGCAAAGAACATCTTACTCAGGGTGGGTTGTTCTGGGTAGAAACGACCAAAGCCCCGTATTGAAGTGCCCCCCTGAGATGGCAGCGTGGCTGTTCTGAATAGCACAGCAAAGCAGCAGCTGACATGGAGCCATCAAGACAGATTTTCTCGGCCTGCTACTATCAGAGGAAACTTCCGAGATATTAGAAGCAGATAATGATACTGTGAGAAGACCTAGACGTAGCTTTAGAGGACGCACCAGGAGATGATCTTGTCCACTTAATATGGTGGCATTTTCCTACCGTGAGGTCTGTGAGTGTCATGTTTTTGGGAGTCTTGCACTCTGTCCGTAAGTGGACAATACACTCTCAAATTGAAAGGGTATTTCCTGCATTATGTATCTTGGTATGTTAACTCTTTGGGAGGCCTTTGAAGAAGTGGTGACAGGCTCTGAACTAAGCCGGTCTTTTTGCAGGCGTTCTGACGGATGGCTCTTCCACTGGTTTGAGAGCAGGACAATGGCTAACTTGGAATTTTCAACTCAGATTAAAGCCCAGGCAATTTATGTCCTTTGTTCCTGCGCTCCTACTGACTTTCATCTTCAAGTAGCTTTTAATGGCCCCTGTATTTATTTCATGGTGCTTGCAGAGAGAAGAACTTGCATTTTACTGTGCTCAAAGAGCCGTATTTGTTACGTCTTTCCGTAGGATGTTGTCTATTACACTCAGCCCGGCTGCTCCTCTCTGCGCCTGTTCCTGGGCTTGATTCCTCTATCCAGAAGGGTGAACAGAAGCAAACACTCCCTTCCAGCTGAGGACTGACTGGGGCTGAAGGAGAGCAAGTCCTCCCGCAGCTCAGAACAGCTCAGAGATGTCTCCTGCATTAGGACACAGACTGGCAAGCCCCCCGTGTGTTTCCCTGCTCAGCACAGGGACAGAAACTTTGGTCCCTGGACTTGGAGTCTGGGTTCCTGCAGTAGTGACCTGGCTGTTTGGCTACAGAGCTCTGCTCAGGATGTTTTTAAAGCTTTCTTGGGTTTTTTTGTTTGGGTTTTTTTAATTTTTTTATTTTTTTTTTTTTTTTTTTTTTTTTTTTTTTTTTTTTTGTAGAGCAGACAGTATTGTACTATTTCTACTCATTTTGAAATCAACGGGAGTTTGACCATTGACTTCAGTAAGGCTGTACCAAATACAGGCTTTCGCAAGCACAGCCAAAATAATATCTCAGTCTCAACGTCCTCCTTAGGGACATCTTTTGGTTCAGAGCCTCTCTGGTCTGCATAAATACAGCACCCTGGTGAATGACACTGGAGTGCTTTAACCCTACATGCCATCTTATGAAGATGGAGACTTTAGGTCTCTAAATTCAGCACAGATGTTGGAGTCAATCCAGCCTCAGGCCCAATGTGCAGGAGAGCAGGGAGGTGCTGAAGGCGGGTGGCCAGGGGCCGCGGTGGCTGGGGTACCGGGTGCCCCTCGGGTGCACTGCGGGACGTGTTTCCAGCTGCCTCGTGGGTGCAGCTTGACTGAATGATCAGGACAGTCGTCAGCGGATGTGGGATAAAGCCAGGATTTTCTGCTGGCTCAGACCAACGATGACCTTGGAGACCACCCTCTCCTTCCAGAGCAGAAGCCATGAACCGTCTTCTCAGCTGCCCCATGCATCCCGCATCTGCTCTTGACTTGTGCCCTGGGGATGCCTTTGCTGCACCGGGTCTTGCTCCTTGGCCTGCCGTCTTCTCTGCGGAGGCGGGGTCTAGCTTCCAAAATCAGGCATCTCAAACTGAGCTAATTTCACCCCATGCAAGCAATCGGAGGAGGCAGCGGGTGGGTATGTGCCAGCTGTGGAAATGCACACCGCTCCTCTGCTGCAGCGTGGGGAACTCGGATCTAGATGCCAAACGTGATCCTGAACCAGGGCTGCTCAGTCCTGTCTTTGCTGGTGGGACCATGCTGTGGTTTTCACTTTCTTTTACTTCAAACTCTTCCCTCCTTGCCCTTCCCACCTCCGATACACCAGCGGAGATCCAGACTCTACCTACCAAGGTTGTTCTTAGGTATCGTTCACCGACCACTTACATGGGGACCACTGGGGGCTGTGGGCCACCGGTTGAAGATCACTGCTCCAACTGGAGTGTTTCAGCCTGACAAAAGCTATTTGGGTGGCCTAAAGCAGATCAGATTAGAGGAGCTAGCGAGCCCTTCTGGCCTCAGACCAGGACAGCTCGGGGGCAGAGGGGGAGGAAACGACCCGCGCTCCTTGCTGACGTGCCTTTGCTTTCCATCCTGGGGGGTGACAAAGCGATGGGCGCAGGATGGAGAGTCGCTGCACGTTTTGTAAGTCTGCAAGTCCCTGTACAGAGCGCGGATGCTGGGATGGGAGCTGAGCTGGGGCTGGCGCCGCCGCGGCCGGGCAGAGGTGCGATGACGCCCC